CAAGAGCACTCAGCGTTACGCCTGTAACTTCCTGTACTGAGATTTTAAGAAACAGGGCAGCAATGAGAGAAGTGGATACTTCCTTTCTAGCTCTCTTAGTAGTGTGTTATGTGTGTGTGCACAGAGGTATCTGCCTATATGAAATACAACATTTAAAACAGCACCTCAGTGTGGTGTTCAGGAAGAACCTGAACTCTGGAATCAGGTAATCTGGGTTTGACTCCATTCCACTCCTTAATAACTGATGACTTTAGGCAAATCACTTAATCTCCAGGCCTTAGTTTCTTTAATTGAAACATGGAAATAATAATACCTATGGTAGTGTATTGTTGTAAACATTAGATATAAAAGACATACATAGTGCCAATCACCGTATCTGAGCCAAACGGGCTCCTGATAAAGCCTCCTCTTTTCACTGCCACTCCCTTAACGTCTCCTTCATTTAAAATGAGAAAAAAAAAATCCCACAGGCAAATCTCAAAGTCATGCAGAACAGGAGACAGTTTTTAGTAGGCAAGCCAAGTACATACCACTGAACAGGTTGGGCACTGCACAAGTGCACTCATCCAAAACAGCACGAAGAGGCTGAAATGTAGCCCACGCCCTGCTTAGAGAAAGGGTCCTGTTTTTCTATGAGGGGTGCTGCGCCACGCAGAAGTGTTTACACTAATTCACTCTCAGACTATCTTCCTAGAAGTACTTGGGAAGCCAGAGAAAAATCTCCATGGAAACTGGGTTTTTCTTTTGCCGATTTATAAACTTTGTTGAAGGCAGGCTGCAAATACTAGAGCGACTGGGTGCCTGCAGCAACTTCCAGCCCTTCTAATCGAGTTGCTTCTTTGTTGAATATAATCAAATGAGAAGAGGTGTGCCACAGACCACGGATTTAGATAATTAAGATGCATATTTACCACGGATTTAGATAATTAAGATGCATATTTACTTCAAGTTCTTCCTAGTTTCAACATTTATATGAGTAACATCCCTGAGCAGAGGTAGACGCCAGACATCCATTCATGTTTTAAAGAAGAAAAGGAAATTAGTTTGTATGACCTGGAAGGGAATAGAGACAAGAAACTGACACTTTTTCACACCAACTAAGTGCTAGAATCTATGCCAAGAAATCTCAGAAAGCTTCTCCCATATAATCCTCATCATAATCAAGAGTACACATTTTTGTTTGAAATATTTGAATGGTTTCAATTAGAGGATGAAGATGGGGGAAGGAGACATTTCATTTGCATTCTTTACCCTTCTGTATAAACTTTTCATTTTTTCAACCACATGTATTTTAGTTTAATTATGCTTTGAACCAGGTGACATTATCACCAGTTTTACATATGAGGAAGCCGAGACTCAACAACATTAGGTAATTTTTTTTGCAAGATCACACAGCTACAAAATGATGCAGCCAGTATTTGCCTCCAAAAATAACACTATCTTTGAAAACTGAGTTGGAGAGGATAGTGGGGAGAAGTTCTGGGAGCTCATTCTCGCACCTCCTCTCTCTCACTAATGTGGAATACTAGGCTGTCTGCTAAAAAAACAAGATAGGAGACTTGAAGAAAGGGATCTGGAAAACTGGAACAACCATCGTGGGGCATGGGAAAGGACACCGACGGGGTAAGGAAATGGATTGCTCAGCAAAGATCAGAGCCTGCTAAGATTGGAACTCATAAATCTGTAAAGGCACCTATCAGCATAATTATATAATTTTGTTCCAGTAATGCTGGGAAGTCCAGAAGCAGTTGATTCAGGATTGGCAAGACAGACGTGGCATTAAGCAAGGGCTTTAACAGTCTTGAGGGGACTTTCCATTTAAAGGAGGTAAGACATAGAGTCTACCTTCCACCCCTTCTAAGAACACACCTGAAAGAAAAGTTAAGTAGAATTAAAAAGAATAAAGCCATAAAAGCAAAGAGAAAAGGAAAGCGAGACACCAAATTTCACGACAATGGCAAGTTGCTGGGCATGAGTTTTCAAGAAATGGGCAGAAAGCTGCTATGGAGGGAGAGGAGCTGGCCGGCCCTATGGAACCTCCACAAGCTAAGGGCCCAGACGTGACCAGAGGCAAGAATGAGATGTGGGGCTGAAAACAATGGGACTCCCTGAAGGTCTGTGGGAGAGAAAACTGTATTTGTGGCCCCTTCCATTCTCATCTATCCACCCATTCCCATCCTCTGTTCAGCACCCAGAGGTTCATCAGGAAATTCTTCTCTAGTGAAACGAGAAGAAATTCAAAAAGCTAAAGCTTCTACTCTAGATGTTGTCACCTCAGAATAAAGTCCCCTCGTTCTTGTATTTGAGGCGAGGGAGAAGGTGGCTCATCACCTGACAGTCAGTATGCTGGACTGCGTGCCGCCAGCCTGACACTACCGCTCCCATCGACGGCTGGGATGTCCCACGTCCCCTTCTCAGTATGGTTTCAGGCTGGAGTTGGCTAACTGGAGAAGTCAAGTAGGAATCGGAAAGTGGGAGAGAAGTAAAAGCCGTTCCTCTCAGAAGTTCATGGGAATCAGACACAATGACAATCAGACACTGAGGTGCCCGGGGAAGCCCCGCTTGTCCTCTCTCCTTCCACTTTGTGCCCAGCTCATCTTGGATCACTGTCCCTGCTGACCAAGAACAGCCCCACCCCTAGAGACACAGACATTTCCACTGACCTCACCACAAGCTCCCATTTTGTGATCCCATTCAGGTGTCAAACACATGCTTTCTCGAATTTTCCTGCAAGTTCCAAGGCAGCCTCTAAGCCTCTAAGGTAGGTACTATTACCATAACCCCCATTTTACAAACTGAGGCTTAGAATTAAGAAAATGACCAAGCAGAGGCAAGATTCAAATTCAGATTCAACTCAAGAACCTGAGTTCTTACCACTAGTCTGTACTGTCCTTCAATTTTTAAAGACTTTTATTTCCTATGCCACATACCTCATACACGCTGTCATCTTACATACGCGCACGCACACACACCCTGTCTCCCGGTGGAAAAATAATTCTCAGGACAAATGACTGTATTCTGTAATCTAAATAAGTTCTGATTTACAGGTTCTTCTTCTTTTTTTGGCTGGTTTGTTGGTTGCTCTAATATTCTAGGTTGGAAAAATAAAATTAAAGCTTTTCTTATTAAAATTTCAAATGGAATGTTTTGTAACATAAAATTCCACTGAGAATCCAAAGGAAGCTAATGCTTTGGTTTGCACCAGTGAAGTCCTGTGGAATGAGTGGCTCCTCACTGAACCTACATGTACACAGGACATAAAAGGCCAGGTTTTTATAACTGTCAAAGAAGAGTTCTCTGCCTTCTGTTGGCAAGGCAGTGGAGAAATCAGTACTCAGACATGGCGCTGCTGGGGTAAAAATTGGTACAACACCTGCAGAGGCAATTTAGCAGTATTTATTGCAATTTCATTTCTGGGAATTTATCCTACAAATAGAAACAATATATGCATGAAGTTATTTACTGTAGTGTTGTATTTAATGACTAAAGACTGGAAACAACCCAACTGCCCATCAGTTGGGGACTGGTTAAATTACAAAATGGAATAAAACGGAATGCCTATACAGTGATTAAAAAGTAGTGCTCACGGGCATGGCCTCTGTAGCCAGATGGCCTGAGATTAAGTCCTGTGTTCTCTGCAGCACTGGGCTGGAGGCAACCACCCTGGATCCCTGAGATCCAGCTGCTAAATTTTCAGGAATTTTGCCAACTACTTGCTAAGTACAGCCACTTTAAAAATTACATAAATTTAATATTGTAGTAGAAACAAAGATAATAAATATGCAAAACTCATCACCTTCTAATTATTTTACTACATGTTATTGTTTTCTATGTCTAATATCAATCTAACAAGGAACTCAAACATACCAACAATCATGTGGTATGTTGCAGGATTGAGCAATGTTTCATTTTGTTATACGTAAGGTGGACATGAGTCATAGCCAACTCAAGGGCAACTAACAATAACAAAGTATCTAGTTGTATCTATATATCAGGTTATTTATGTCTGTTGTATCTGTATGATGGGAATACTATGCAATGGTGTCCAACTTGAGCATTTCCTCCTAACTCAACGTTCAGTGTCTTCATGTTGGTAGCTTGAAATACGGTATGATGGGAGTATTTACACCACAGAAATGGGTAAATTTTACAAATTGGGGCCTTTTTTCCTTGGAGAGCCATGTGTTAAATATTTATCAGCACACCACTGGTTAACCGTGACGTGTACTTCAGTTTTACCTTCTGGAAAATTGGAGTAATAACAGCACCTACCTTATGGGATTATTGTGAGGATGAATGAGTTAATATATATAAAGCAATTAGAAGAATCCCTGGCATGTAGTAAGCTCAATATAAGTTTATCTATTCTGTTTATTATTATTACTGATACAGAAAGACCTTTAAGCTACAGTGTTACTTTAAAAAAAAAAGGCTCCAAAAAAAAAAGGCTCATAAAATTATGTATAGAATGCTATCTTTTGGATATAAAACAGGGAAATTTTAAAATACATATTCATAGTTTACTATATTTGCATAAAGTAGCCTTGGAAGGATAAGCAAGAAATAAATAAAAGTGGCCTTCTGTTTGCCTTTGGATGGAGGGGTGGGGAAAGCAGGTAAATGGAGGACGTGGGTAACAGTAAGACTTCTCATTGTATGTTGCATTTTCATTGAATTTTATGTTTTTAAACTATGTGAATGTATTACCTATTCAAAACATTACCTTAAAAAAGAAAAGATTTCACTAATTCATCAAATATTTTTTCTATATCTGCTGTAATCAAAATGCTATGGAAGACACCCTTTAAGGGTCAAAAAAGACATGGAAGAAGGAGACACCACGGCCTCTGCCCTCCAAGAGTACAAGCAAGCTGAAAGCACTCACAGTGAGAACAACCTGGGCCATAGGGCAGGCACAAGTCTGACCAGAGGTATAGAAACACTTCAGGACTTTGCACTTAAATTCTAATGAAATGAAATGCCTCTTCAACTGTACTTACCCTGTTGTATAAGGGATGTTTATGCCTCCTAGATTAATACTTTCACATCCAACAATAAATAGGGTCGAAAAACACAGTAAAGACACACCACTGCAGATCATTGCTAGTTTTGCAGATTCTCTTGCACCAAGTTTCAATTTTTTTATAATGTAGCCTCCCAGGACAATACCAACACCAGCACTGGGGACAATAATAACACCTGGGAAGAAGAAGGGAAGGACAGGATTAGTGTGAAATAGCGTAGACAATTATTTGCGTTTTCAAACTATTTTGTTTCAACTTACTTAGTAGTACTAAGGTAAGAGTAAAAGCTTACTATAATCAATAACTCTTCAGTGTGTTCATACACTTTTGTATTGCATTTTTTATAGCATTATAATATTTCATAATTTCTATTATATTTTCTAGTATAGTATTATTTTCAACACATACAATCAACAAAGGACATATCCAGCATATATCCAGAAATTTCACAAAGCAATAAAATAAAGACAAACAATCCATTAGAAAAATGAGCAAAGACCTGAGTAGGCATTTCACAAAAGAGGAAATCCAGATGACCAATTAACACAGGAAAGGTGTTCAACCTCATTTCCAAGAGGGACATACAAATTAAAACCACAGGGAAATACCACTACACACCAATCACCTTGATAAAAGTTTAAAAGTCTGACAATACCACATGGTGGCAAAGATGCAGAGCAATGGAAATTCTCAACACTGCTAACCAAACCGAAAAACCAAACCCGTTGCCGTCGAGTTGATTCCGACTCATAGCGACCCGAAAGGACAGAGCAGAACTGCCCCATAGAGTTTCCAAGGATCCCCAGAGGATGTAAATTGCTACACCTACTTACACCTACTTTGACAAATAGTTTGGAATTATCTGGTAGAGCTGAAGATATACGCGTCTTCATGTATGCAGGATCAGGCAATTCCATTCTTGGATCTATACCTTGAAAAACTCATGCACTCGGGCAACAAAAGAAATAGACAAAATATTTAAAGCACCATAACAGCCCCAAACTGGAAATAAACCAAATTCCCATGAATAGATAAATTAACTGTAGTAGATTCATATAATAGAGTATTACTATCCAGCAATAAAAATTAAGAGCCATAGCTGTACACAACTATGTGGATGAATCACGCAAACACCGTGTTGAATGGAAGAAGCAAAACACAACAAAATATGCATGATGTTACTGCATTTGTATAAAGTTCAAGAACTTTAAGCCAGATGGTTTAAGGATGCATCCACAGGTAGTACAGCTACAATGAAAACCTAGGAAGTAATAGAATCCAAAGAAGTGCTGGTGTGGGATCAGGAAGGGATACAGGGGGCTCCTCTGGTGCTGAAATATTTCATTCCATGACCTGGGTGATAGTTACACAAGAGTTCATTTTATAATTATTCATTATCTCTAACTTTTGTTTTATGCACTTCTGTGTGCATCAAATTTCACAGTTAAAAAAATAAAAAAAAACCTTGAAAAGCAATAGTCATAGTGTCTGCCAAGAACCTTACTATCTAAAAGAGAGACAATCTAAAAGACAGAAAAACAAGTTAACAGATGATTAAGAAACAAAACAAAACAAAAACTAGTTACCATTAGGTTGATTCCAACTACTCTTGATGACCCCATGTGTGTCAGAGTAGAACCGCTCCATAGGGTTGTCAATGGCTGATTTTTTCAGAAGTAGATCAGTAGGCCTTTCTTCTGAGGTGCCTCTGGGTGGACTCAAACTTCTTAACTTTTCTGTTTCAGCATGTGCGTGACCAGTTTGCACTACCCAGGGACCTCAACGGATAATTAGAGTACAATAAGCTAATTATACAAAGGGTAGGGAGAATATAGTAAAAGAAGCAACTGAGTCTTCCTTGGGAGAAATCAGGGGAGGCTACACAAAAGTGAAGACCCAGTATTTGAGCTGACACTTGACAGATGAGGCAGAATCTCTGAGATATGAAAGAGGCAATGGAATCTTCCCAATGGACCAGCACAGAGAGAACATCCTACACCAAGGAAAGAGGCACAGAGAGGCATGAGAGAACAGAACTGGGGATTCAGAGCAGTCCCAAATATTGGGAGTGTGGAATGAAAGCTGCTGGGAAGTGACGGGACATGAGGGAAGAGCAGTAAGGAAAAGTGAGGCCATGAGATACCATGGAAAGGAGCTCAGGTTGGCTCTCCAGGGAGTGGGAGGCCACTGAGGAAGGCTAGCAGGGGTCCAACATGATGGGAGTTGTGTGCTACAAAGATCATTTCTGGCAGTGATATGGGAGACAACTTAGATGGGAGTCAGAACCAGAGTCACGGAACGGGATCAGGACAGTACCTGCAAAGGTCCAGGTGAGCCATAGCAAGGATTGATACGACAGCACAATGAGTTAGATGAGGAGGACAGGGAGAGAAGAAGGACCATTGGATGACCCCGATGGTGGTAAGGATACAGAATACAAAAAGAAAAGAATATGGGGGAGCAACACAATGAATTCCACTTTAGACATGGTGACTGTGAAGGGCCTGTGGGATAATCAGGTAGAAATGCCTCACATATTTACACATGTGGGCTTGAAGCTCAGGGAAGAGCTGGGCTTGGTAATCTATAACCCGTAGATAAATCCATGGCATAGACAGGAGTTTCCAACAAGACTGTACAGAGTACGGAAAAAAGGGACCAAAGTCAAAGTCCTGGAGAATATGCATGTTAACGGGGTATCATAAAAAGATGCGTCCACAGAGAAAATTCTAAATGAGCAGCCACAGAAACAGGAAAGAGAAAAAATGTCTTAAGGTAGAAAAAACTTGGGCTTCAGAACTATTTCAAATCCTCACTCCATCTTTTGTAGTCATGTGATCATGGGCAAGCTTCTTAAACTCCCTAAACCAGATTTCTTTATTTTGTCATGGAAATGTCTACCTTTCACATTAGGATGAAGACTACAGATACCTTCTGTATGTAGACATGGTACACAGTAGGTGCAATATAAATCGCAGCTATTCTCATTACAGCTGTGCTGAAGCAACCAAGGAGAGAAAGTTTCAAGGGGAGAATGGACAACAGTGTCAAATGCCTCAGAGAAGACCAGTAAGATAAAGACTGAAATGAGGCAACTAGGTGATTGGAGATCTTGGCAAGAGCACGTTTAAGGCTGTTTTGAAGGCAGAAGCCAGAACACAATGGGTTGAGTAATCAGTTAGGATCTAAAACCGAAAAAAAATCCATTGCCATTGAGTTGATTCTGACTCAGAGCAACCCTATAGGACAGAGCAGAACTGCCCCATAGGGTTTCCAAGGCTGTAAATCTTTACAAAAGTAAAGTAGACTGCTACATCTTTCTCCTGCCGAGCAGCTGGTGGGTTCGAACCGCCAACCTTTCAGTTAGCAGCTGAGTACTTTAACCACTGCGCAACCAGGGCTCCTTCATAAGGATCTGGATACTGGCATTCAGACTGCTCTTTCTAAAACTTTGGTTGTGAAAGGAAGGAGGGGTATGAGTTTGAGTTAGAGTGAGGCCAAGGTAGAGTTGGGGTTTTGGGGGGGGGTTGTTGTTTGCTAAGATTCAGAAAGGACTTAAGCATATTTATATACTGAGAAAAGTGGACTGAAAAGTAAAGATTGAATATGGAGGAAAAAGATTACCTACTGGCAATGCAAGATCCTGGAAAGTCAAGAAAACATGGAATTCACAGCATAGATGGTCACATTAGCCCTCGATAGGAAGGAAGAGACCCCTCCCTCTGACCCAGGAATGGGAAGGGGGAAAAGCAGGTAAGACACTGGGTGGGTGATGGCTCCACAAGTGGTAGTTTTTCTGTTTTGCTATTTTCCCATTATTTTGGAAACATAATGTAATACTTGTTGTAACAGAACATTTGAAAAGTATGAAGGACCAAATATCCACTGCTTACATTCTGGCATATTTCATTCCAGTCTTATTTCTATGCCTTTTTCCTTATGGAATTGATAACATGTTGTAGATTCCATTTTTTAACAGTTTTGATCTTTTTTAAACATTTTATTGTGTTTTAGGTGGAAGTTTACACAGCAAATTAGTTTCCCATTCAACGATTCATGCACAAATTGTTCTGTGATATTGGTTGCTATCCCTGCAATGTGCCAACACTCCCCATTTCCACCCTGCCTTCCTCGTTTCCATCCATCTAGTTTCCCTGTTCCTCCTTGCCTTCTTATCCTTGCTTTTAAGCAAATATTGCCTATTTCGTCTCATACAGTTGATTGCTCTAAGGAACACTTTCCTCCCAGGTGTTATTGTTTATTTTATAGGCCTATTATTTGGCTGAAAGGTGATCCCCAGAAGTGGCTTCAGATCCAAGTTTTAAGACTGAACTAAAGGCCATAGTCTCGGATGTTCCTCCAGTCTCTATCAGAATAGTAAGTCTGGTCTTTTATATGAATTTGGATTTTGTTCTACATTTTTCTCCCACTCTGTCCAGGACCTTCTATTGTGATCCTGGTTGGAGCGGTCGGTAGTGGTTGCCAGGCATCATCTAGTTCTTCTGGTCTCAGACTAGAGGATGCTGTGGTTTGTGTGGGCCATTAGTCCTTTGGACTAATTGTTTCCTCAAGCCTTTGGTTTCCTTCACTCTCTTTTGCTTCAGCTGGGAGGAGACCAATAGTTGTATCTTAGATGACTGTTTGCAAACTCTTAAGACCCCAGATGCTACTCACCAAACTAGGATGTAGAACATTATCTTTATGAACTATGTTATACCAATTGATCTAGATGTCCCCTGAACAGCTTTGATTTTTTTCTTCTCTATAACTGAAAACAAAGTCAACTCTTAAAGGGAAGGGATATTAAGAACTTTAATATATGGCAAAGGGCTGGAATAGTGATTTTAGGAAAGTGGAGTGAGCACTAAGTAAGAATATATAATAGGCTTGACAAACAGAGAGTACTGTGGGTCCAGATGATATTCAATACCAGCAATCTGGAGCTGCATCAGGGTGCTCGGTGGGACAGCTTGCTCCAGCATGTTCAACAACCCATATATAGGAGCAGAGGAGGAGGGCAGGATTAATCTAAGGGTTGAATTTTTTTCTGACACCCAATGTTCACCTCTTAATTCTCACCATAGTCAATAAGAATAGCTAATGGTCCCATTTTACAGATGAGGAAATTGAAGGCTCAGAGAAGTGATTTACCCAATATTGCCCAGGGAGGGAGGG